ATTCCTTTAAACTAACATGGAAAATATAGAGATAAAGACTTAAGTTGGCAATACACCCAGACTCATTATCATGGAGGTGACAGGAATACAGAAAAAGAAAAGAAAACTTAAGAGTCTTTTAAAATGAAGCTTGCCTCAGACTTCTCCCTTCACCGTTACTATGAAATGAGGCAGAATCAGACTTTTCCATCAGCAGATTTCAACAATAGGATAAAAGCCTCTGCATGTGTGGGGTTGTCAAATCTGTGTATTTGATCTTGATAATGAATGCAGAATGTTGCTGGAAATCGCATGATCTAGCAAAATTTCAGGCTTTTAAAAATGTCCTTCTCTGAAACTTCCTTGGTAAGATCAGGATAAATTGATATCTTACTTCGATTGGAATCCCACATCAATGGAGACTTTACTGATTCCTGGCAAAATATATATAAATACAATACAATACAAATACAAAATATTTTAATGACCAAGTATAAAATATATATAAGGAATTTGTCTTCGGTGACGTAGTATCATGAAGGAACTGCATAATAATGATGTTGGAACTAGTTCAATCTTCTGTCTTATCAGAGGAATTTTAAGCACATGTTTGACTACAAAATCTGTTCCTGAAGAAAGGAGCTTTCTAAAGAAAATCCTCCATAAATTTAGCCAGAGTTAGTTGACTTGGGGGATTCTCAATACCAATCACACGTAGATTTTTCCTGTGCAGCTGTGATTCTTGATAAGTAATTTGTTTATCTAAAATATTATGACTAGCTGGCGCTATGGTCTCATGGGCTTGTAATCGATCTTCATAACTAGCCATTTTTTCTTGCATCTGCTTTAAATCATTCTTAAGTTCAGCCAGTTCTTGTTGAATTGGCTTCAGAACGTGCAGCTGAGCCAGAATCTTTTAACAAGTCCTCCTCCGCCAACAGCAAAGATGGAGGAGGAGGATTCTCCTACTAACTTTTAACAAGTTAGAATCCTCCTCCGCCATCATTTCTGGCTCAGCAGATAGTGGCGCAATAGGAGTTAAGCTAACTGTTGATCATTTAGATTTAGTTGCCATGCCAATAACTTACTAGAAGCAAGATAGTGTGTAATAAAAAAAATTAATTACTTAATAAACAAAGTCTTTATCAGGAGCTTGAAAGCCCTTTAATCAAGAGAGAAGTGAGAGACGTGTTCTACAGTACCATTCCCAAACCGGAAGTCGAATCCTTAGCTGTTCAAAGATTCAAAGAGTGTCAAATGCAGCTCCTGAAGGAATGCACTTAAAGCATTCTAGCTCCACAGCTGGAGGTGGCTAACTGAAATCTAGCAAGAGATTACTATTTACTAGCAAGAAGCAAATGCTAACATTACTACTATTACTGACAATAATAATTTTCTGTGTGAGTTACTGGTTATTAAAAACAGAAAGAAAAACTACCTTTAAAAAAAAAATGAGATGGGTTCCACAAAATGAGTGTCAGTAAGAATTATCTCGATGTCAGTCATTTACTTTTTAAAGTGCTCTATGCTGTGACCCTGTTTGAATGTGCATGAGAGCTTAATTGGCTTAATTGGACTGTACTATTATAAGGGAGAATTCAACTTAGCTTTATTGAGCAAAAGTGGAACTCTTCAAATCTTGCTTCTTAGTCAAAGTTCTAAATTAGGGAAATGGATCACACTTTTGGAGGCTATAGTCAATATATTGGTGTCTGAGACCCTAGTACTCTTCCCAAATTGAAGCTCTCCCGTGTTCAGTTGAACCTGTGAATAAGGTAATAGTGAATTGTTGAGACCCTGACTGGGTATATTTTGTTTAATGAAAAGGTGACAGTAGGTGAGTCCTGTTCCTTTTCACAGCTTCTAAAAAATGCTTCCCAAAGCAATACATATATATATTTTTCACACACAATAGCAAATCTGCAAAAATAGTGTAAACACGGGAGGTGTTGGTTACTAGTCATCACCAGTATTATTGTTCTTGTTGGTTGTTGTAATAGTTCTTGTTATTTTACCATGATTATCACCATGTTCATAATTCTTCCTACCTGAGAACAAGAGATGGGATTAGTATGGAACCCTTTTCCTACTGTCTGCAAGAATGTGGAATATTGAGGTACCTCAACTGATGCCCAGGACATGTAGCCCCAGAACATTCATCATTGATGATAACAATGGGTAGAAAGCTAGTGCTGACCGGTGTTACATAGTCTCTGCAACAACAACCTAAGCTTTTGTAGTAAACTACAATATCCAGTTAATTAATCAGAAATAACTGAGAATCATTAGGAATGGATAAGATAGCTGGAGTCATGTGTGATGACTGGCATAGTTTTTGCAATAAATTAGTCCCATAGAAAGACTCAGGGCTTTCCTACTATTTTAACTGAGTTTGCAGTTGTACCAACTAATTGATTTATGATACGGTATAATGTCCCATGAATTATATGTAAAATTCACTCAACCAGTATCAGTATAGTATGTAATTTGTTTCTAAGATAGTTACACTTTCTATTTGAGCGATGCAGCCCTTTGGGAATTATTCAGAAAGAGTGCTTCAGAGTGCACAGGAGCACAAAGTATGTCTGCAACTCTATAAGCAGCTGCATCCTGAAAATAATTTTCTGAATTCTTTTTGAAGCCATATTATCTATCATATATATTTCTTTGCAGCTGATCTTACTTTGGACCCCAAAACAGCTTGTGCAAGATTGGAAGTATCTGAAGATGAGAAGAGTATGAGGGACACTGGATTTTTTTTTCCTGAAGTTTCTAAGATTCTAAGAATGAGATTTAATTTCCACCCATTTGTCTTGGCAAAACAAGGATTTTCTGAAGGCAAATATTACGGGTTGTCCTGGA